AGACATGTGAAAACGATAAAAACCGACGTTTCGGTGTCATCGTGTTGCCATTGTCAAGATGATTATAGATTCTGTGATTCTGCAGTCCTCAATAAGAAGTCCGCTAAATTTGCAACGTAAATGGAAAGTTGAATTGTATAAATACTTTTGCACGAATGGAGTCTGATTCCATGTTTAGACTAGGTTTTATACAGAAATCTGGAAATATCACAATTAGGTCAATTCTGGAAGTCTGACCAGTTTTCCTAACTGATCGTATTCTTTGCTTGTTCTCTACTATGCCCATTCTGCGCATGGGAGAACTCGTTGAACAACTTGCGCTATAAATATTAAGCAAAAAAAATAAACAAAACTGTTGATTTTCGGTCTGTTTGCATTGGGAATACAAAGTTCTTTTGGCAAAAGAGTGGGTTTCCTTTATCGAACAAGCGAACAAAAACAACATTTCCTACTTTGGAATAATTCCCTGCTGAAACTGCGGAAACGTGTACAGTTCTCAATCCTACCTGATAAAACGCACTGTGTTTATAAGGCTGCCGTTCGTGACCTCTTTATTGAACATGGAGAGTGGTTTTAATTTATATTAATTCTTTCTTATAAATGTTTTCTCTTAATTCATTTATCTTAGGCTGTGCATAATACTTTTAAAAACTTCATTTAACTATTTATTTATTTATTTGCTTGTTTATTTATTTATTTATTTATTTATTTTGTAAACTAATGTAATGCAGATATTCTGCTTTGTCAGACAATAAAGTATATTTAGATATAGAAACAGCGGCATGGATCAATCCTTTACGAAAAAAGTTCTAACAGCAAATAACAGTTGTATTTTAAAGTCAGTCTTGAGCCCTACACGTGTCGGAAAGCTCCGCGACTTTCATTCTTTTAGCTCTTTTCTGTTCTTTTACGAATGATAAGGCATGAATGCTTCAGTATGCCAGGGACTGTAAGAAATTAGAAGGTCCCCATCCAAGTTCCTCTGATGTTCGTACGAGCCACCAGCCATTCTCGCTTCTTTGAATCACCTCTACTTCATCTCCCTCCCTGAAAGCAACTTCACCATCGTCCTGAGAATTGTACGTGTACATCGCTCTGTAGAATCTTGGATAAGCAATGTTTTCCTCTTGATTCTCATAGTGGAAATCTGAACGGGATACCCTGGGTGACGGCCTAAACAGCGACACAAAGCCAGAATCGCGACGTCTAGGGCGGGAACAGGCATGTGAGCTCCTGCTTGAAGAAATCTTTCTTTGTGGTGGAATAGGACTGTTTCCTACTGAACTTGATTTTTTGCCTGTCGAGTAGACACCATTCAAACTTAGTTCCATTTCATTCTTGTAGTGTTCCAATGAGGTGGCAGATTTTGAAAGGGGCACCGCTAGAGAAGGACGCGACATTGCCAGGCCGCCTTCAACATTGTCTAACCATGGATGTGATGCATACTTCTTCATGCCACTAGTACTAGGTTCCTCGGTGAAAACATTAGATGACACAAGGGACGAAAGGCTTGCGCTTAGTGAGTTACCATATCCACCACTTAACTGGCCAGACCGGAGTGAGTTGTTCAAGTAACCTTGACTAAACTCGCAAGATAGGGTCTGGGGCGAGAATCTTGACAAGGACACGTCTGTGGAGCGTGGTAGAACCTTCCTATTTATAGCCGTGGTATTTACTGTTGCTGCTTCTGAAACTGATTGGCTGGTGGTCTTGGAGCTGCCATTTTCATCGCCTGGTGTACCATTGGTTTCCATAGAGTTTCGCTTTTGTATGTTGCGAACTGTTCTTTGAACCTTCAAATAATAAAAAGAATAAAGATAGATAAACATCCAAATCAAGAACGAATATAAATTCCAGTGCTACGACGTTTAGGTTAACACAAAAGAGATCAGGTAAATAGCCTTTACATATGACTTAACGTATGAACGGTCAGACAGCAGAATTTGATTCACAGACAGAGTTAAAGTGAAAACTACATTAGACACTTTGACCAAACTGAAAGGGAAAAAGATTAAGTTAATGGAACTGGGCATTGAGAATTCTCACCATGCTTCGCCTTGTAGGAGGTGTGCGCGAGATTCCTTGCCTAGCGCCATGTTCATGAGAATCTATCAACAAGAAACAGTCATCAGTGTTCAGATGATAATGATAAATATATTTATATGCAAGTACAATGGAGAAAAGGGAAATTGTGAAAAGGAATGTTTAATTGGTATTATTGAAAATTTCTTTCTAATCTTTTAAATCGCATGTCTCTTAAAGATGTTTAACATCGTAAAGAAGCTCAACCCATCAACAATAAAGGCAATAACCTTTGTAAAAAATAAAACAATATCAACGCAATAACGCTGGAGCAAAAGATTTAAATTTAACGTGGCATTCCCACATTGATAAACTGTATGAAAAGATCGCTTCCGCTGTTGGAACCATAAAGCGAGTTAAGCCATTTGTGCCTCAATCCACCCCACTCAATCTTTACAACTCACTAGTTCAACCTCACTTTGATTACTGCAGCCTTGTCTGAAGTAATTGTGGCAAAACATTATCTAAAAAGCTACAAAAACTACAGAACCGTGCTGCCCGTGTTATAACTTCATCAAACTATGACGTGGATGTCGATTCCTTATTTCATAAACTCAGCTGGAAAGACTTAAAATCTCAACGTCAAATTCAGAACGCTTTAATGGTTTTCAAGTCTTTAAACGGTTTTGTTCCGGAATATCTCACGTCTAAATTTATAAAGCGAAATGAATCAAGGTATTCTCTGAGGGACTCATTAAACAAACTTGTTGTCTCCTTTCCAAGAACTAACTACATGAAAAATAGTTTTAGTTACAGCGGCGCTACCCTTTGGAACAGCTTACCCTGTAACATTAGAGAATCTGGTTCATCAAACAAATTTAAACGCCTTCTCTACCATAATTTTTAAACACGGCATTCATGGAAACCAGGATTTTTCCTAAGTGGCATATTAATGTAAGTTAATATAATGTTAGGATTTGGATTTTTAGTCATTATTATGTAATTTTTTTCTACCTGATGTTTTTACCGTGTATAAATAATGATTAAAGATTAAAGATTAAAGATTGAAATTATAACTTGTTATTAAAACTATTGTCTGCTCGCATTCCACACTTTTCATTAGCAATATCCATTATGATAAGAAATGGAATTACAGGCTACTGCACATAAACAAATCTGGTAGGAGGGCTACGGTGTTTTCATCAGTAGGGAATACACGATCGCAAAAAAAATTGAAAAATCTTGTTAAAGTAATACAAAATAATACAAAAGAAAACGTCTAAAGATCAAAGGTTCTTTGTTGGGAAACTGATTTATTGCGAGGGTTATTTGTCTTGTGCAGTAAAGTGGAGGCAGCAGCAAACAAATAGGCACCTTTCAACACATTACTTTTTGCGTATTTTCTGAACGCGAGGAATGCACGCGACACGGACAACCTTCGCTCGCTTGAGAAACGCGGGCTAAAGGCGAAGACAGAATGAAACGTTTATAGATTGATATAAAGACCTTGACTCATATCACGTCCTATAGGCCTGCAAACGAGTAATAACCTGTTTATCGATTCCAAAAAAAGGTAGAATAGCTTGCAAATGGCAAACCTGCAAACCCCTCCGCAAGCACGTTGATTCGATTGAATTTCGAACGACTTCAAATCCAAAACATTTCGCTCAATTGCAGTATAGTGCTTCTCAGTATAACGATTGCCTGGGTATACGCAGTAGGGCATTCAGCAAATGAGGGAAAGTTTGTTTCAAATTGAATATATCTTTACACCTACCCGCCTCAAAACAACTTGGTAAATTATATCTGCAAATTTGTTACAGGCCAAAGATGACATTTAACAGTGAAAGCTGATGGACTTTATGAGAAAAGAATTAAATTTGAGCTCGCGGGAAGACTCTCATGTGTCAGCTCTAGCCGATTTGATTTTAGTCGCCGAATCTTGCATGCATGGTTACTCTCAGTTTTCCCTCCAAAGCAGTGAAATATATTATTTGACTTTTGTTATCAATTGACGTGACCGTGACTTCGCTGTTTATGACAAAAATTCTCTTACTGGATGTTGTTGAGGCCGACTAGCGGCCGCACCTGATAAACTGAAATTGATCTATGTCTGTTATAAGCTGACACTCGTTTAGGGTCGAACTGTGCACAGCTGGTCGGACTGTGTTGAATCACGTGACTCAGTCGCACATGGTTTGTCTTTGAAA